CCTTGAGCTGAAGAGCTGAGGGACAGCGCCCAGGCCCAGAGTTCAGGCCCCACAACCGGACCCAAAAAAAAATAATAATAAAACAAGTCCTGGGGCTTGAACTCAGGGCCTGGGCACTGTCCCTGAGCTTCTTTTTGCTCAAGGCTAGAATTCTACCACTTGAGCCACAGTGCCACTTTCAGCCCTTTCTTCTTATGTGGTAATGAGGAATTGAACCCAGGGTTTCATGCATGCTAGGTGAGTATTCTACCACTAAGCCACATTCCCAGCCCCAAAAGCAGTCCTTAGTACTAGAGTGACTGGCTCTGGCTCAAATCAAAAGCCAGAAGATATATGTAGGAGGAGATAATTAACAATTCTCCCTGAAATTCATTGGGTTGACACTTAGGTCAGGTGCTTTATTAAAGAGTCATTAAAACCATGTGACAGTATAGTCTTTGAATTCAAGAACTCAAGCTTCCTCATTGCTGAACACGTTTACACAAGTTCACTAACTTTGTATGTATCCACTTATTTGGAATGTGCGGGTAGGAGGTATAGACCTGACTCATTTCCTGATACAGGGACTGCTCTCCAAACAGAAGCAACACATCTCAGGCAAGCTCTGAAGAAGCCAAAAGTAAAGCCCTCAGAGACCTGACAATCCAGGATTGATGTATACTCAGCCCCCTGGACAAGAGCCACAACACAAGGACCAGTAAGGAGGTAAGGTCTATGACAAAATATAAAGGTAAGCTGGGCACCTGTGGCTCACGCCTGCAATCCTAGCTACTCAGGAGGCTGAGACCTAAGGGTCATGGTTCAAAGCCAGCCCAGGCAGGAAAAGTCTGTGAGATTCTTATCGCTAATAAATCACTCAGAAAACCAGAAGTGGTGCTGTGCAAGTGGCAGAGTGCTAGCCTTGAGCTGAAGAGCTGAGGGACAGCGCTCAGGCCCAGAGTTCAAGCCCCATGGCTAGAAAAAAAAAAAAGGTAAAAGAACAGGAGAAAGGAAGAGAACTGGAAGAGATCAAATTGTTAAGTGAGAATATTGACAATGGAGTTGGGCACTAGTGGCTCATGTCCTTAATCATAGCTACTCTGGAGGCTAAGATCTGAGGATCAAGGTCAAAGCCAGCTCGAGCAGGAAACTCTGTAAAACTCCTATCTGCAATTACTTACCAAAAAGCCAGAAGTGAAGGTATGGAAGTAGAGTTAAAAAAAAAAAAGAAAAAGAACCTGGGGCAAGTAGCTCATGCCTATAATCCTAGCTACTCAGGAGGCTGAGATCTAAGGATCAGAGTTCAAAGCCAGCCTGGGCAGGGAAGTCCGTGAGACTCTTATCTCCAAAAAGCCACTAGAAAACCAGAAGTGGTGCTGTGGCTCGAGTTGTAGAGCGCTTGCCTTGAGCTGAAGAGCTGAGGGACAGTGCTCAGGCCCAGAGTTCAAGCCCTACAACTGACAAAAAAAGAAAAGAAGAGAAAAAGAAAGAATAAGACAAAGGAAGTACTTTATTAGAGGGCAGGAAGGCTCATGGAGAGGGAGAAAGAGGGAGAGAAGACAAGTTATGTTGAGAGGCTAGAAGAATTAAAGAGCCAAAAAATGTAGAATTAGAGATGGAGACCTAGACATAGGCACATGGAAACACAGAGGAGTTGGGGACCCAGAGGATAATCCTGAGAGATAAAGTGAATAGTGATAAGCAAAACCTGTCATTAGTGGCTCATACCAGTAATCCTAGCAACTCAGGAAGTTGAGATCTGAGGATTGGCTTGAAGCCAACAGAACAGCCCATGAGATTTTTCTCTCCAATTAACCACCAAAATGCCAGAAGTGGAGCTGTGTCTCAAGTGGTAGAGTGCTAGACTTGAGAAAAAAAGCTCAGGGATGTCACCCAAGCCCTGAGTTTAAACCCCAGAACCAGCACAAAAACAAACAACAATAACAACAATAAAAAGCCCTAAGGCCCTAAATTTAATTTTCAGAGCTTGGGGGGGGGGAGGGAGTGACAGGCAACTGGGACAGCATGACAGGAAATAAGGATGAAAGGTTATGGGACTGGAGCCATAGGATAGGGAATGGAGTCATAGCACATGTGAGCACCCAGGGAGAGGGAGAGATGAGACACAAAACAAAAAATGGAGAAGATAGTAGGGTAGGGAGATGAGTGATTTGTTGGAAAAAACAAATACAGAAAAGCAGTTTTTCAACTAAATTCCCTGCTTTCTCACCCCTACCACCTAGACCCCCCATCCTGACTGCTCTCACTAAGAGTGATGACAACATCTAGAGAAGGATTCTACCCTCTGCAGCTTTTCCTGCTGCTGGGGCTGTGGGTGGCTGAGGTCCCAATCAGTGCCAGGCCCATCCACATGACCTCAGCACAGTGGTTTGAAACTCAGCATGTGCAGCTCAGTCCTCAAACATGCAACTCAGCCATGAGACACATCAACAAGTACACCAAACACTGCAAAAATCTCAATAGCTTCCTGCATGAATCTTTCTCCAGCATGGCCACCACCTGCCAGATGCCCAATATAGCCTACAAGAATGGCAGGGAGAATTGTCACCAGAGCCAAAAGCCTGTGTCCCTGACAAGCTGTGAACTCGTGTCAGGGAAGTATCCAAATTGCAGGTACAGAGAAAAGCATCTGAGTGCACAGTTCATCGTAGCCTGTGACCCTCCTCAGCAAAAGGATACTGGGAAATTCCATCTAGTTCCTGTGCATTTGGACCAAGTCCTTTAGGTTTCCAGGTTTCTTTACTCTTGTCCAGGCCTCTTTCTTGCTCCTTCTCCTCCTCTGAATGCCTTTTTTTTCCTTCATTTCTTGGGGCTCTTCTGCTTCCAGCTCTTCAGAGAGACTAACGGGGAGTTAAGGCCCACACTTTGGAAGACTAAGCTCCAAGGAATATGGTCTTTCATCTTTTGGTGGTCATTTTTCCAGAAACATTCCCCAGAGGTACTGAGCAAATTCAAGGGCATAGGGTCCTTGATTTAGCCTTTGAATAACTCTCCCTCGTCTGTCTTATCATGGCAGTAAAACAAGGGGGAGGAAATAAATGAAGAAGAGTTGTATGCAATTTATACAGTGCTCTTTCTGTTCCTAAACCAGGCTCCTTCCCAATCTGCTATGGAGTTAAGGTGACCTCTGTGGGAGAGGTGGCCGGAAGGAAAACAGAAGATAGAAATGTCACCTTCTATTTACATAGAACTTCATGCCTTTCACAGAGATCTCTGGTGAAATAGACTTGACAGGATTACCTGTCCATTTCATGGTTGGAAAAAACTGAGATTTCAGAAAGCTTATTTATCATGGTGCTAGTGTCTCATGCCAGTAATCCTAGCTACTCAGGAAGTTGAAATCTGATTATTGAGGTTTGAAGCCAACTCGGCAGGAAATCTATGAGACTCTTATCTCCAATTAACAACCCAAAATCTGGATGTGGAGTTTTGGCTCAAGTGGTAGTACCAGTCTTGAGTGAATAAGCTAAAGGAGGGGCTGGGAAGGTGGCTCAGTGGTAGAGCACTTGCCTTGCATGCCTGAGGCCCTGGGTTCCATTCCTTAGCACCACATAAGCAAAAAGAAAAAAGCCAGAAGTGGCGCTGTGGCTCAAGTGGTAGAGC